TACATCAAAATGTTATTAGTACTATATTATTACATCAAAATGTTATTATTACTATATTATTATGTTAAAGATATTTTAGTGTATTGGGAAGTGTTTTGTTAATGTTTTTTATGCATAGAAAGGTACACTATATACTGTATACTAAGACAAACATTTGACTAACTGATTTTAGGAATGGAACTCACTTGTAATCCAGGGACTGCCTGTAAAAAGAACGATAGTTAGAAACTCATTGCTTTTTACTTCCAGTATAATAATTGATTCAAGCAAGGATCATTAATGGATGCTAAAATCATTAGGTGAAATAATTTTGGGAAACAAGGTTTTAGAATATCACCCCACAAATACATACTAATCCCAAAAAGAACCATACCTTTAAAATGGAGAGATCTGGCAGTTTCCTCCTTAACCACGTGATTAGGGCTGGCATCACCAGTGGTGAGATCACTGGACTTGATGTACTGCCTGACGCAGTAAGGAGTACTCATTATCACCTGTGTAGTAGTCATGCTAAAAATGATTGACACTGGGGTGTGCTCAGAGCAGGGGGCCCCAAGAGTGGCTTCTCTGTTTATAACACACCCGAGAGGAATCTGGGTTCGTTGTGACAGGGGGCACACAGCTTGTGGCCTTCCTATAAACAATCGCCCTACATGGGTCTTTCCTGTACCTACCTGGGTAGGACTAATGGCAGAGGGCTCCCTACTGGAGGAAAAACTGCAGTACTTAGTTGGGGAGGTCGCCAGTCCATGCATGCGTGGGCCATGGGTGATCCTAGCAATAAAGGCTTTGAACCTCTCTTCAAGGGAAAAAAAAAAAAACAAGATTGACATGAGGAAACAATCAGACAAAGCCAGAATATGGGACATTCTAAAAGTGACTGGCCTGGATGCTGCCAAAAAGTCCGTGTCTGAAACTGGAAAACTGGAAGTTGTTTTAAACTGAAAGAGACTAAAGACACAGCCACCAAAAGTGCCACATGTACATTGTGTGTACCCTGGACCTAAACAACATCTTCTAGAAAAGACGTTTTCAGAATCATTGAAGTTTGCATATTGATCATATACTAGATGATATGAAATTATTGACAGTTTTCTTGTGTGATGATGGTGTTGTGGAAAGTTAGGAAAATGCGTGTTGAAACATTTAGGAGTGACATGTCATTTTCAAATGGTTCAGCACAAAATGTATGTGTATATATGTAGGCAGAGAAAGAAATAGGAAAATGTTAATTGTAAAACAATTGGGTGGTTCCTCAAAAAGTTAGATGTGAGATTACTATATGACCCAGCAATTCCACTCCTAAGTATATATCTAAAAGGCATGAAAGCAGGGACGCAAACAGACGCTTGTATCCCAGTGTTTATAGCAGCATTACTCACGATAGCCAAAGGTGGGAACAACCCACGTGCCCATCAACAGCAGGTGACTGGATAAACAAAATGTGGTACATACCTCCCATGGAATGTTATTCACTCAAAAAGAGAAATGAAGTTCTGATATCTGCTATGACATGAACCATGAAAACACAATGCTGAATGAAATAAGGCAGACCCAAAAGGACAGATACCGTATGATCCCACTTACATGAGATGTCTAGGACAGCAAATGCATAGACCAAAGTTTACGGGTGGTTTCCAAGGTAGGAGATAGTGGGAAACGGGGAGATACTGCTTAAAGGGCACTGAGTTTCTGTTAAGGGTGATGGAAACATTTGGAAATGGATTGTGGTGATGGTTATACAACATGGCGAAGGTAATTAATGCCACTGAACTCTACATGTAAAAATGATTGAAGTGGCAAATGTTATATCTATTCTACCACAAGAAAATAAAAAATTTTTAAATGTCAGTTGATGAATCTACATGAAGGATATACAGATATTCATTATGTTCATTATCTTATTCTTTCAATTTTCCTGAACTTGACATTTTTAAAAATAATAAGTTTGAGGCAAAAAAAAGCCACTGGTACACAGCCACGGTCCTGCTGCTGATGGCTCATTTTCTCCAGATAACTGGACTCTTCAGCCCACTTCTTTGGGCTATAAACCTATCAACAGTAGGCCTCCCAGTTTTCTGGGAGTTGATCTCACAATACCAGTAGCTGTGCATTATTTCAGTATCCACTCCTGCTTAGTTCTTTTTTTCTTTCAAACTACTGTAGGATTAAAATAAATTGAGATATATTTTCCGATTCAGTTTCACAAGGTTTATACTGTACGTATAGAAGGAATGTGTTTTAGCTTTGAAATTGTAGTGCGTAACTGGGAAATGAAGTCAGGTTATACATCTTCGTATGGAGTAAGTAACATCAGTCAACAGCTGTCCTTCGGCTGGAGTTTCCTTCTCCGGGGGGCTAGGTCACGAGGCCGGAAGCAGTGGCTTCTCTGGGTTCTCCCTGTTCTCCGGTGCCGACTACCCAGGGTCGAGAAGATGGCCGTGGCTAGTGGTGACCGGGACGTGGCAGATTGCTGCCTTGGGGCGGTTGAGTTCTGCATTCGGAGCCTCTCCCCTGACCAGCAGTGGGAAGTCTGGGCACTGAAGCTCCCTGACAGCCCCGGGCAGGACCCGGCAGGAGGGATGTGAGGGACGTGCTGGTCGAGCTGGTCCCGGGCCTCTGCCAGCACGGAGCAGGTGGCATTTTTGTTTGGCTTGGTTTTCACTCTGTCCTGTCTTCATTCTTTCTCAGTGATGTCATAAAGGTGGGCAGGAAAGATTATTACTCGAAGTACCCTCTATACCTGGCAAGGAGCCCTGGTGGCACAGTGGTTAAGTGCTCGGCCACCAACTGAAAGGGTGGTGGTTCAAACCCACCCAGCGGCTCCGCAGGAGAAGACCTGGTGATCTCCCATAAAGACCGCAGCCAAGAAAAACCTATGGGGCAGTTCCACCCTGTCACATGGGGTCGTTTTGAGCCCAAATCAACTCAGTGGCACCCGACAACAACACAGACCTGTGTAACCTTCTTTAAAAAAAAGAAAAGGGGGACCTCTGACACTTGACTTAGCCAGGCGCCTCACAGTGTCTTAATTTAGCCCCGTCTCAGTGCCAGGATAAACCCGGCTGCTTTTAGCTTTGCTGGTACTGGAGTAGCGGTTAAGGCTGTGACTGAGTACCAGGAGGTAAGAATACTCCCTTACAACGCCTACACGAGTAATGTCTGCACGTGTAAAACATGCTCCTCTAGAGGGGTAGAGACTTTATCGTGCCCCTCGACGGCGCAGCCACAGCTTCCTTCTCTTTGCTTGTGTTCAGAGCTTCAAGCAGGAATATTACACGGGCTACACAGAGAAGGCAGTACTAGAAGTGATGCAGCACATGGCCAAAAACGTAGTGAAAGTCAACGAGAACTTAACGAAATTCATCGTAAGTACTCGTTTTTCTTGAGCCGTGGAGAGCGTTGGACTGTAGCGGGTGTGTGTGTGTTTGTGTTTTCATGCAAATGTATGATGGCTTATGTGGGAGTCTGTTTAGCACAAGTTGTTTATATCTTTCTAGTACAGCAGGGGATGGAGCATATTGGCGAGCCCAAATTCTTTTGAAAGCAGACTTTATCTTTCTTTGAAACAAAGTCGATGGGCTGACGGTGTTTAGGCCGCGCTTGTTGTCAGCCAGTCAGCCATTCCGTGTCTGTGCTCCATCCTCAAACCAGCATCCCGGGCGGCCACTCGGCCAGCAGGGAAGGCTGGTCGGCCTGTGGGCGGCCACTCGGTGAGCAGGGAAGGCTGGTCGGCCTGTGATCAGGAAGCCCAAGGGCACCTTGATGGCTGCGTGGAAGTCTTAGGTGTAATGTTGGGTTATGTCACTCAGGGCCTCGTCCAGGGTCTTTCGGGACTGGACGCCACCTGGCTAGCGAGCATGATGAAGACAGAGGGCGAGAGGCCCCTTCAGGAAGCCTCCTGGGCCTGGTGTCTCTCTCTGGCCCACCTGAGAGAGGAGGCAGAGACTTGGTCCTGTTCTGTGCTTGTGTGGCACCAAACCCAGAGCCTGGTGACCAAGAGCAGTGTTTGTGCCCCAGAAGAGCCTCGAGGGCCCGCACGGTGTGGCTTGGTTTCTCATGTGTAACCGGAGCCCGGCTGGGCGCACTGTGCTGTTGACATCATGCATCCTCAGCGCTGAGGTGTTGGCTGGCAGCTGACAGGCACTCATTGCCACTGGCTTTCATTGCCCGTGGTTGCTGCCAGTCCTGGCTAGCCTGTTCTGCCCCGACGGCCCTGTGGTCCGATGAACATGTCTCCCCTCTCTGGTAGCTCATGACAGGAAGCCTCCTCCTGGGACCTTGAAGTCCTTTGCTCCCGCATCACCTGTGCTACCAGATGGGCCTTATTCATTAGTAGAAGTGGACGGAAGCAGGAGGAACGGCGTGTTAGGGCCTCGGCATTCTCGCTGACGTCATCGTGCCGTCTGGAGGTTGGGGTCTGGCCTTAAATACCTGTCAGGTAGACTAGGAATGAAGGAGGGACCAGGTGGGAGTCCTGACGGTGCTCAGTCACTAATGACTTCCGCAGGCCATCAAGAATAAATACGCGAGCAGCAAACTCCTGAAGGTCAGCACCATTCCTCAGCTGAACTCCACAGCCATCAGAGACCTCGCTGCCCCTCTGCTGGGCAGGTCCTAGGCCACCTCGGTGCTCGGGCTGCTGACTCTCGACTTTGTACATAGTCCTCGGGTCTGTTTCCTGCAACCTTGTCTGAGACCCACTTTCTAATGTATATTGAGGAAAAATAAAGCTATTGATTTTTCTTAAGGTATTCCGTGCGTTTTCATTTGTGTCTTCTCTATGAGGAAATCACTGTCAGTTTGCTTTGACTAATTTTTTAAACTTTTTTAAGCTATTATGAATAGCGGGGACTTGGTGGTGCAGTGGTTAAGCGCTTGGCTGCTAACCAAAAGGTCAGCCGTTCAAATCCACCAGCTGCTCGTTGGAAACCCTACGAGGCAGTTCTACTCTGTCCTATAGGGTCACTATGAGTTGGAATCGACTCGACAGCAACGGCTTTATTATGCATGGCATGCAAATTATTGCCTCTGTGGCTTTAGGAAATACCTTCCTACAATTTCTCAGATGGAAAAACTAGACTTTGGCTTCCAAACAAAAAAAAAAACCTGTTGCCGTCGAGTCAATCCCGACTCCTAGTGACCCTGTGGGACAGAGTAGAACTGCCCTGCAGGGTTTCCGGGGCTGTAATCTTTATGGAGGAAGATTGCCACATCTTTCTCCCTCAGAGCAGCTGGTGGGTTTGAACCGCTGACCTTTCGGTTGGCGGGTGAGCACTTTAACCACTGCACCACCCGGGCTCTCTCAGCTACACTGTGGGCCTTCCCGTGCCTGTGGGCAGTTAACCACATTTGACCTTGTTTTCTGAGGGGAGACGCCTTCTGAGTCTCCAACTGCTAACTGTTTTAAAAACCAGAAATATGAGTGAATCTTACAGCAAAAACATCCCAGACTGTCAGTTCACAAAATGTTAATTGGTGTTCTGAGAGAAGAGTTGATCAAGTAAGTTGGGAAACACTGCAGACCTTTGAAGATGTATAAACAGCTCTGAGAAGCTTTGCAGTAAACCCAATTAACTCATTTCTCCTAGAGGTGGGTAAAAACTGCCTTCTACTTTGCTTGCTGGTGAACTGAGCAGGTGTCCAGCTCTGTGATTCAGGAATGGTTTGAGTGTGACTGCACCGTGGAGGAGAAGCTGGCTCTGATTAAGGTTTGCATCTCACCTCTTTTTTCTGGGCAGACCAGGGTCGCCCGACTAGAACGTCTAACTGCAAGTTTTGAGCATCTAGCATATATTTAGTGTCATGGATTGAAAATCTGTGTCAACTTGGGGAGGCATGATTCCCAGTATGGGTGGTCGTCTCCATTTTGTGATATGATGTAATTGTCCTATGTGTTGGAAATCCCAATCTCTGCCTGTGGTTAATGGGGCAAGATTAGGTTCTGTTAAAGAGGATTAGGGTGGGAGGCAACACCCTTACCCAGGTCACAGCCCTGATCCAATGTAAGGGGAGTTTCCCTGGGGTGTGGCCTGCACCACCTTTTATCTTACAAGAGATGAAAAGGAGAGAGAAGCCAGCAGAGAGCGAGGGACCTGACTACCACCAGAGGCAGAGCTCACCCTCACAGTTCCTGCTCTGAGAACCTCCTAGACCAGGGGAAGATTGATGACAAGGACCTTTCCCCAGAGCTGACAAGAGACAGAAAGCTTCCTCAGGAGCTGGCACCCTGAATTCGAACTTCTAGCCTCCTAGACTGTGAGGAAATAAATTTCTGCTTGTTAAAGCCATCCACTTGTGGTATTTCTGTTATGGCAGCACCAGATAACTAAAACACCTAGTAATTGCTTATACAATTTTATAAACATCCTTTGAGTTAGTGACACTTGTTCCCATGGCGGCCTTAGACCAACTTACGTTACCAGTGTGAATGGTAAGGAAGCGGGGCTGGGAAAGGGAGTTTTCCCGTCTTTGAAAAGCCACGTTGTTTCCCAGGGACGTTTGAGCTCAGCTTCTTACCGAGAAAGGACGGGTTTTGTAGACATATTTCAAAGACATAGCTTCTTTATTACTTACTTTGATTAGTTAAATATTAAGTAGCCGGACTCAGGAAGTTCTTCAGGATGTCACAAAAAAGACTGTAAGATGTTCCCTTATGTGCTATAGCAGGCACCCAGAACTAAAATCTTACGAATGTGAAATAAGCTACAAAAATAGAAATCATATATCATAAAAACACTGGAATTAGAAAATGAGATGATGTAACCACAAGCAGAGAGGAGCACAAACTCTGAAGTTGGATTGCTTGGGTTTGATTCTCCTTACTAGCTGTGCGGCCTGCATGACTCAGTGTCCTCATCTTTAAAATGGGGATAGGAGTGTCTACCTTCTAGGGTTGTGTGTTAAATAATGAGAAAGGTGATCTAGACAGAGATGGCCCCAGGAGACTCAAAGACATGTTAGACTCAGCTCTTGCCCATCAACGGTGTACAGATCTGTTTGTTGAGTTCTGTTTGGTTTTTTTTTCCCTTAGGTTTTTGTTTTTTGAGAGAAAGATATAAGTTTAAAGGATGACAGATTAGACTGATTAGGAAACTCCTAAGTAATTGTTGAATTATAAACAAAATGATTAAAAGTGTGAGCCTTGGAGTCAGATCAGGGTCTAAATCATGGCTCCCCCACTTTGTGACCTTGGGCAAGTTAATGAGCCCTATGAGCCAGTCTTCTCATCAGCAAAGTGCAGATTTTGGATTGGGCAATACTGATGGCTCCGAGGGGAAGGTACAATACAGCAGGAAGGAAAGGCACCAAGATTCACTGGTAGAAATCACAGCCAGCTACGAAGGTGGAACCGTGAAGGTCAACTAGGCCTTGGGCAAGAGGCAAAAGGAGGGGAAAAGTGGGCAACAAGAATGGCTCCCACACTTGGCCACAAAAGTGAGGGTGCCAGGAACAAGAGCTGGCGTCTCCACCCAAGACGCGCTGTGCACTCTACTCCTGACTGCCTCCCCCCACCCGGTATAAGAAGTACTAGCAGCTAGAGGCTGATCAGACTTAGCCTGGCCGGCTCCATCAGGGACGGTCTGCAAGGGAGCCACCGAGGGAAAGAATCTAGATTACGTATAGTTCATGCTCTGGGGCAAGCGGTGGACTTGGGAAGCCTCATAAATGCACGTCCATCTTGTCTCACTTGTTCTTGGGAGCGTCGCTGCCTGGAAGAAACTATGACTTTGAGGAGGAGGAAGCTCTCTTCCCTGGTGCCCTGTGTGCGCTGCTTAAACTGCTTACTGAGCTGACTGTGCCCAGCATCCATGCCCTCTTCTTCCTAGGATTTTAACCGGAGACTCCCAGCCCCGCTTGCAGTTGGAGGTCACGTGACTAAGTTCCTGCCAGTGGGATGAGTAGACGCGATGTGTGCAATTTCAAGGAATGTCCTTAGTTAGAAAGGAAACTGCTCCTGGTCCTGACAACACGTTGGGGTTTGCACCCTTGTTAAACGGGGAGCAAGCTCATAAAAAAGGCTCCTTCCTTCACCCTCTCCACGTGTGTCAGACTCGTAGGGCAGGTGTCCTTTTACATGATGCATTGAGGGAGCCGCTTTGTCCTTCCTGGGACTCCTCCCATTCCTCTGCAGTAACCTTCTTTATAAAGGGTGGTCTGCTGCACCCTGGGGGCCCTGGAGACTGAGGAGTCCTGAGGCCAGAGCCACACAGGATATCATTTGCCTTTTTCCACTTCTGTTGTCCTAGAGGTGTCTGGTGGAATCTTCACGAGGCTACAGCACAGAGAACATCACTCTGCGGTTAAAGGAATGTTTGTGTACTCGTATGTTTTAAAAATGTTTAATTTCTAATATGGCAAATGTTGATAGCTATAACCAACATGAGCAAAGCTCTGTGGGGTTCTCAGTAATATTTTAGAGTTACTGTAAAGGGGTTCTGAGGCCATATAGTTTCAGAACCGCTGGTCTACAACTAAGGTTTGAACACCTGTGCCCTAGGGTCCCTGTTCAAGCCGACTCACTTGGTTCTTGATGACTTTAAACCTTTGGTTGATCTGTTGCTTCTTTATACCGCTGTGCATGTGGGTGGTGTGTGCACATGGACACCCCTCATCCCAAACACAACGGCAAGTTCCGTTCCCAGAAGGCAGGGATGGCCCCACCATCTTTTTCACGCTCGCCCAGGTGAAGTGACTCTTGTATAATGGAGCAGTGAACAAAATGACAGGGCTGGCTAGATCCAGGGGCTGGAGCAAAGCCAGGTTAATGACTTTTAAGGCCCCAGAGAGAGAAAAGGGCATTTTTTAATTAGGAAGAAAAAAAACAAAAATCTACTCCAGATTTTGTTCAGTAGCGCCATTTACCATATCTATATAGACAATGGTAAGGTTAAGAAGGTTATTGTTGATACGTGCCGTTGAGTCAATTCCAACTCATAGCAACCCTGTGCACAACAGAAGGGACGCTGCCTGCTCCTGGGCCATCCTCACAGTCACCGTTGCTATGTGTGAGCCCATGGTTGCAGCCCCTACAATGTGCATCTCTAAATTTTTACTTTTTAATGGACAATTTCAGAATTTTAGCATCTCCACTAGGATCTAAGTCTTTTCCCCACATAAACACAAATTCACTCCCCTATTCAACCACCACAAGCTACTCCTGGCGCCCGGCATGGGCTAGGCACCGAGTGCAGGGCAGGGCTTGATCTGTGACCTTCAGGGACTTGCATTCTACCTGCTGCTTGTGGGGACATTTAACTCGGTTCCTATGTTGTCACCCAAAGCCTGAGGATTCCCAGTTATACACAAGTTCAAAATGCCATCATTAAGTTCAAATCTGCTGGGAATGACTTAGGAGATGGTTGAGGGGAGCCTGTGCCAGCTTGCCAGGGGTTTATGTTAGCAAGGGGAGGGGTCCAGGGCAGAGAAGCAGGCGCCTCAGTCCAAATTCTTGTTCTTTCTTCCGTCTTCCCACTTTCAATCCGTCCATAAAGGTGGAAGGACTTTGTAAAACATAGAGACTATTAGCTTCTTCGTTTCATCATACCGGGGCTTTATTTTTCTCCATCTCTTAATTTACCTCGTCGCAAGATGGAACTGAAGTACATGTTACACACTGTTTGTTATAGTTACTGAAATGAAATCTGCTCTCTATTCTTGAAGTATAAAACAGAGGAGAATGAAGTTCTAAATTCAGATAAATATATATGTTTTTTTCTCATATGTAATCCAATAATTTTTTTCCAGGGACTTGAGAATACTCAGGTGTATGTTGGTCAAACCCTAACCTCCCAGTAACCTGTGGTAGTTGGGAGGAGAGGTAGAGAAATTTCAGGGTACAACAACTCTTAACTGTGTTAACATTGTTTCCAGCTTTTCCCTATGACTGCAATGAACATCATGGAAGAGCAAGGCGGTTCACTGATTCCTTTATTTATTTAGCAGGGAGGGACCCAGAGGGGGAGAGAGGAAAATTACCTCCAGGGAAGAGGTGAGAAGGGTTTGCAGGGGCTGAGCCAGGAAGCAGTAATACTGATTCTGTAGCTGAACAGGAGTAGTGCACATTTGTAAGTACCTGGTGCGAGCCTTGTAATGAAACCTACCTTATGAATGAGTACAGTGGAATACTACTTAGTACATTCATACATATTTCTACCATCTTGAGATTTTTGTATGTACAGTATATGATCTGTTTTTATAAATGTACAGCTTGGGGAAAAAAAAAAAAGATCCTTCTTGGAATAGGTACAGCATTAAACACAAAACCAACATGGGCCAGCCACATTCCAATCGAAGACCCCGAGAAAACAAGGCCGACAGCCCAGCCCCAGCCTGGCAGCCCCTGCCAATCCCGGTGAGGAGTAGACCAGCGCCCTTGGCACGCAGGGGCTCAGCAGCCATGCCGCCCCTAGCATTTCACGGGAAGTGCCCCCTCGCTGAGCCCAGCCTGCAGAGAGAGGGTCCCCCCGAAGGCCGCCAGCAGGCGGAGAGGAATGTGTATGTCAGGTAAGGAAAAGGGGGACGAAAGAAATGTGCTCTTCAGCTAAAGGCACTTGTCAGCGGTCCCCACAGCCTTTCCCCGGGCCCGGAGAGCGTGGGGTGCCGATTCTCTAGAAGCCAACAAGTCTGAGTGGCCCTGGCTCATCCTCTCACCAGGTTTAAATACAATAAATAAATCTTGGTGGGTGGTGGTTTGCTCTCCTGGGTTCCTAGGAACAGTCGACCTTTTAGGATCATGTATGGAGGGACATTCCCTGTGCCCACCCAGCCCTGTCGGCGTCCTCCCTGGGAAAGGTATAGAGTAACTCCAGGCCTTGGGAAGCTGTTCTTGCTGTGGATCAGAGGAGGAGCCCCCAAATGTCCCCTCCCCGTCTGGGCCTGGAGCTCTTTTGCCTGGTGCATCAGCATCTGTGTGCTCAGATCTTGGTCACGTAGTTGTTGGGGAACAGGCCCTGCTTGCCTCGTAACCGACCCGTCCACCAGCCAGAAGGATCTGCGGGGAGACAGAGATGGTGAACACGGGGGAGAGAGAAGGCTGTTCCGCTCCACACGCATCCTGCTCCCATGGGCCTGTTACACGGGCAAAGAGGCTTGGTGCCATCCTCACTCTTCTTCCCTTCTTTAAAAATTCCATTTTATTTTAATTGAAAAAGTTTGCTGTAAAAAGTCATCCCTTCCCCAAGGCAGATGGGTTATTCAGCTCCCCCTGAACGGAAGAACCTGCTGTGTGGACGTGAGGGTCTGGGTGGCTGACCTGCCTGGCATCTGAGCAGAGACGCATGCTCTTCTCGGGGCTGGTGGGTCTGCCATTCATATCCTCTGCCTCTTTTTGTGCTGGGAGCCGTAAATACCTCATCCCCTTTTCATTAACTCTGTTCATGATGTTTTAATATTAATTAGTTTACTCAACTGATCTGTTACAGCTTTTGGGTTTTCTGTCATTTTTAGAAATCCTTTCCCACTCTGATATCATTAAAAAAAGCAAACTCTCCCATGCTTCTAGTATTTTACATTCATCTTGCAGATTGAAATACTTGATCTGTTTGGAATTTATCTTGGTGTAAGGGGTGAAGTATAACTCAAAGTAATTATTTTGACATGGGGCTTTTAAAACTTTGTGAAATAATGTTAAGCGTACTCCCCAAAAGACTATTCCAACAGTACACAGTGAAGACGGTCACCCATTTCCCTGGCCAGCCACGGATGTCCACACTCTTACCTGCAATTACAAACTCCAGAAAGCCCTAAAAATTGAAAGTTTTCTGTAACTCATCTGGTGGCAAAACTTGACCTGAACTGATGTGAGTTTGTTGATGGTGTGAACACCCACAAGCTTCGCAGCAGAAACTTCACTGAGTTTGCCAGTAGGGTGTTGTCCTGGGACCTGAAGGGGCTGTTACATGATGTGCAAGATATACACTGGCAGGAACTTCCTAACGCCACCTATTTCTGAAACCCGTCTGGCTCCAAGCTTTGGATGGGGGAATGTAGGCCGTCCCACATTTTCCTCTTCGCCAGAGTCATGAGAGGTGAAATGGCTTACTTTGCATAGCACTGATTATGAGCGAGGCTCTTCTGTGCTTTGCCTCCGTAGCCTTTGCCCGCTTCTGGACTGGACTGTACGTCGTCTTGCTAGTCATGGCAAGGAGCTAATTATACGTGTGAAACATTTTCTCGTCGTCTCTTTGCTCCTGGGGCTTTTCACAATGCAGAAGGTTTCACCTGCACCTTCTAATGAGTTTAGATCCTGTATGGTTTTTTATGTCTTGCATAGGGAGGGCCTTTCCCATCCAAGGATTAATACAATATTCTGGGTTTCCTTCTAAGACTATAATTCAATTACTTTTAGATATTTCATTTATCTGATATTTCTTTTGTATATGAGGTAGAGATCGATTTTATTTTCTTTTCAAAATGGAAAGTAGTTTTCTATGCTTTTTCCTCTGATTTCCAATGTCACATTTATCATATATTAAGCGTCTGTATATACACGGGTCTGTTTCTGGAGTCTGTTCTGTTCCGTTTATCTATATGGTTTTTCCTGCCCTCAAACCACACTGTTTACGTGACAGCGTTACCTTAGAGCTAACATGCTGTGACAACTTGTAGGACTCTGTATTTTACACAAACATGTCATTGTTTTAATTATACCTGGTAGTGCATGTTATTTCTAGGAAAATGTGAAAATATTGAGAAATGAAAGGTAGTACTTGTAAATTCAATACTCAAGGATGGCCACTTTTCACATTTTCTAGAACTCTTTTATATGAACATATTCACACATACATATGTGAGAGTATATATGCACACACACACAGGTATATATGCTTATATTTTTACAAAAACGAGACTATACTCCACAATCTCTAACGAACTTTTTCCTTTTCTTCATGAACATCTTTTCATGTCAATAAATAGACTATACTTTTGAATCATTTTTTTTAAAGTTCTGTCTCACTGTTGCCATTTTTTTTATCGTGGTAGAATATACATACCATACAATTGACCACGTTAACTCTTTCTGAGTGTACACCTGCAATACTGTGGAACCATCACTACTGTCTAGTTCCAGATCTTTTTTTTTAAATCATCTCAAACAGAAACTCTACGCCCTTTAAACAATATGCCTCATTATGTTTAATAAAAAAATTTCACATCAAAGTCCACTGAATGGATATAGCAAGCTTATTTAGCCAACCCCATCACTGGATCATTTCCAATATTTTTGCTGAACAAGGCTGGTGACAAAAATCCTATTTTTTGTTTACTAAAGTTTATTTTCAACACTCATTTTTATTCCCACACTTTTGAAGAAGGATGTTAAAGGAGATAAAAATAAGGCTCAAAGGCCATTTAGAAGGGGTTGGTGCAGGGACCTAGAATTCTCCTCGGGGCAAACTCAACACGATGAGGGAGCCTGCTAAAAGCACAGTCTAGGAGTTGTCCTCGGCCATCTCTCTCCTTCTCTCTCCCTCTCTCTCCCTCTCTCTCCATCTCTCTCCCTCTCTTTCTTTTTTTTAAATTATTTTTTGTTGTTGAAAATATATGCAGCAGAACATACACCAATTCAACAATTTCTGCATGTACAATTCAGTGACATTGATTGCATTCTTCAAGTTGTACGACCATTCTCACCCCCCTTATAGCCACATATTCCATTTCCTCCTCCTATTCCTGACTTGGAAACCCTGGTGGCACACTGGTTAAGAGCTGCGGCTGCTAACCAAAAGGTTCGCAGTTCAAATCCACCAGGCGCTCCTTAGAAACCCTATGGGGCGGTTCTACTTGTCCTATAGGGTTGCTATGAGTCGGAATTGACTGGATGGCAATGGTTTTTTTTTTTTTTTTTTTAATTTTTTTATTCCTGACTCTCCTTCCTCTCGCTCCAGGCAAATGCAGACCAATTGTTGTACCCTGGCTGGTGGCTTGGCCATCCCTTCCTGAAACCTAAACTTGCCGAGAACCACCGTCCACTCACGTTGTCCTTGCCCTGCGGTCCACACCTCGATGGCTCCCCACTGTCTCTATGAGTTCTCATGAGCCTGATGTTCAGGGCCCTCCACGACCAGGCCGCCTCTAGCTTAACTTCCCATGACATCTCCCTGGGACCCTGCACCTTGGTTGAGGGGCTACTCGTTTTCCTGAAATGACCTGCTCCCTCGGGGCTCCGCTTGCTGTCTCTCCCTTCTGTCTACCTCAGAGAGAATCCCCCATTCTCTCGCCACACATGCCATTTCCCCCCTGCTGCCCTCTAACACCCTAAAGCAGGATTTATCTTTGTCTTTATGCTTCCATAATACATGTTTGAAATTTTTTTTAATATAATCTTGTTATATTCTAATTTAGCTTCTCTACCAAATTAAAAGAGCACTCAGCCAAGCCTGTGAGGCACTTTTTATCCCGCCTGCCTTTATAATGGATGTTAGGGTGTCTCCTCGGCTTCCACTCCATCCGCCTTCACTGTGGGGAGGCCATGAAGTTTGGGTGGGATAGAGCAGTCACTGCCAGATCTAACACAGGTACAGTGATTGCCTTGACACGAGCTTGGCTCAGGGATGGGACCATAACCTAAGTTGACCCCATCAGAGTGAAAGCTAAGACTTCTGTCCAATGGCAAACAGGGACATTTCAGAGATGATCAGGCAAATTTCAGACAGCTTTGATCTGTTGGTCTGGAATTGCTACAGCCATTTTGCTATCAGGAGGTAAAACAGCAGGAAGAGAAGGCAGATACGAAGAAGAGGGCAGAGCTGATAGAAGCACTGAGAAATGAAGCTGGAGGCCTGATCTAACAGCCTGACGCCTCCCTCTGCAAGGTTCAGTTAGAGCAGCTCATGAATTCTCTTCGTATTTAATCTAGTTTTTATAGCCAAGTGGCTGTGTGCTCTTTGGGAGGGTGTCGCAGTCAGCCAGCCATGCACTTACCTTCTTTGATAATATCAATGATATCATTGGCATTGAAGCTGAGTTCATCTGTGTCCTGAGCATCATAGGCGTACAGAGCCTTGCACTGGGGCATCTGAGGCTTAGGCTTGGGCTGGGGCTTGGGTCTGCCCCCTGCTGGGGGAGGCCGGCTGGTCGTTTGTCTCCGGACTCTGTGGAGAGAGGGCAGATGGATGAGACATGGGAACCAATGGGTGGCAGCAGCACCGAGTGGTGTTTAGGAGCACGGGGCCAGCCTCAGTCTGCTCAAGTTCAAATCCAGCTGCCCCCGTAGAAGCTCATAGCCCAGAGTTCACTCCCGAAATCTTCTCCAAGAATAAAAATATCCTCCCTGACAAAGCCATTGCAAAAGCACATGTTATTGTTAGCTGCCATTGAGTCAGATCTCACTCACAGTCAGCTCTGAATAAACGCTGTGGTGGTTGGGTGCCATCAAGCCAATTCCAACTCATGTGACTCCGTGTGACAGAGTAGAACTGCCCCAAAGGATTTTCTTGGCTGTCATCTTTACAGAATCAGATGGTCAGGTCTTTCTCCCGTGGAGCCACTGGGTGGGTTCGAACCGCCAAGCTTTCAGTTAGTAACCAAGCACTTAAACCATTGCACCACCACGGCTCCTTTAATAAACACTTAACTGCTGTTATTATTGTCATTTCCACAGCACAGAAGGAAATGTAGAAAAGACGCATATTCATACAAAAGTTTATAAAGTGTGCGTGTGTGTATACATACACCCCCGACTTTGGAAACGTGGCGTCTGCCAGCACCGTGGAAACCCGAAGCTGCCTCTCCCCATTTGTATCCCTCCAGAAACAACCACTATCCTACATTGTGTATTAACAATTTCCTGATTTTCTTTATAATTTTATCACACGTGTAAATATTCCTAAACAACATACTTAGTTTGCCTGTCTTTTTAAACTATGTAAAAAGAATCACACTGCGTACAGTCTTCTATCACGCACACGACATTTCTGAGATGGCCCCATGCTGATGCAGGCAGCTGTAGCTCTTTCTTGTGACTTTAAACTATTCCTGCACGGACGTCACAATTTGCTTATCCAGGCCGCTGCGGACGGCCATTTGGGTTGACTGCAGTTTTTCTCTATTATGAAAAAATGCCGCTTTGTATATTCCTGTGCAACCGTCTCCCGGAGCGGAGCTTCTCGACCTCCGCGCATTAGGGCTGTGGGCGGGCTCAGTCTTTGTTGTGGGGGCTGCCCCGTCGGATGTTCAGCAGCATCTCTCGCCTCTACCCACTAGATGTCAGTGGCACCCCCCACCCCAGCCAAACATGTCTCCAGAACTAGGCCCCTAACCCAGGTCTTCTGGCTTTGAGTTTCTTCTTCTACGTGCCGCGCTGCCTCCCGTCCCTACCTAGACATTGTCTCAAAGACAGACAACTGGAACTTGTTTCCACTGAACGAGCTCTGTAAACTTATATCTAAAATAATTATTTACTATGTATCTTCATTAAATTCATTTAGCACAAAAAGAAAAAAAGGAAATACAGAAAAACACTTTTCCCCCCACTTTGCTTTACAGCAAACCAAAGTAAAGCATACATTCATACGCCAACAACAGATTTCTTCTAAGAGGGGCGGGGCTGTGACCCAACCCCGCGGCTGGCTCCTAGGCCAGGCCATGTCTGTTTAAAGCGACAGGAGGAAGTCAGAAATGGGAGGGTCCTTCCGTGGGCCTGAGTTCTGGAAGGAAAAGCACGCCCGGCTTTGAGCTGCGCTCCCACAGGCCGCAGCCCACTGCCCTTGCTGAGGCCCCGCTCGCGTTCAGAGCTCGCCAAGTCGGCTGTATGATGACAGATGCTACGTAGGTGCTGACAAGCACGTCAGACCACGAGGGGGAGGCAGGGGTGCAAAGCCTTGGGTGTAGCCTGGGGCTCCCCTCCATGGAAGGCAGCCATCCCCAACGTTACTCAAGCTCTGCTCCTTTCAGGCCAACCGCCTCGCCCATCCCTTTTCGTTTATCTAAGAGAAAAAGGTCTTACCGACCATCAGCACGACCCCATTTTCTATCCAGTATCTATTGGAAGTCCCCATTCCCTGCTCAAGAAGTGCCTTCTTTGTTGAAAACTGGCTGGGCAAGCAGGCTTTTAATTGAGCAACTATACATTGCGAGGAAATCCTGGTGGCGTAGTGGTTAAGCGCTTCAGCTGCTAACCAAAAGGTCAGCAGTTTGAATCCAGCAGGCACTCCTTGGAAACTCTATGGGGCAGTTCTCTGTCCTGTAGGGTCGCTATGAGTCGGAACCGACTCGAAGGCAACGGGTTTGGTTTTATATATTGGGAACATGTCAGCATTTGGCTAATAAGCACCATTAGCCTGGATACCGGAAGTCATCTGATTTCTGATTTTCCAGCAACGGAGGAAATGAAAGGAGAGGGTGAGGGGTGTGATTAGAACACCCTGGGAGGGAGGAAAGTCTCCAGTCTGGAAGTTCCATGAAGCAGAGTTGGCAATGCACACCTGTGCGTGTACATATACACACACACACACACACACGCGTGCGCCCACACACACACATTCTCTCTATCCAAATACTTGTAGATAGAAATTTAGCCTCTGTTATGTCCAGGGGTGGTCAAGTGGTTATAACGCACTAGGTTGCTAACTAAAAGCCTGGTGGTTTGAGCCCACCCAGAGGCACCTCAGAAGAAAGGCCTGGTGATCTACTTCCGAAATCCAGCCTTTGAAAACCCTACAGAGCACAGTTCTGCACAGACACGCGTGGAGTCGCCATGCGTCGGGGCGACAACAGCAACCGATCTGGTTTATGTCCAGGGGAGAACCCTACCCACCACCGTTAGCACAGGTCGATGGGGCCTTGGAGCCCAAGAGTGGGAGGGCTTAGGCACTACCTCCCCCTCCTCCCTGAGGGGCTTGACGAGGCCCGGCAGCGGGAAGAAGAGGTCGGCAGAATCCTCCCTGGAAAGGCAGGACTAGTCTGCCCTGCCACTCAGGCAGCCATCCCACCTCCCTCTTCGGCCCGTCTGCCTCCAGCTGTGACTAAGCCCACTCAGTTCCTTCTCCTTCATGTCTTTCCCACCAGTAGCTTCCGTCCCAGGCCCCCTGACCACCACACTGGCTCAATTTTATTAGGTCACTCCACCCTCCACCTGAAAGTCCTCCCAACAGCCGCTCTCCGCTCTTGGGAAAAGGAGCAAAAGCCTTCATGAGGCCGAAGTCCCTGCCAAGCTCAGCCCCTCCCTGCTCACCTCCCAGCCTCACGTCCTGTCACAGCCATGGCCACACGGCCGCTGGGCTTCTTCCTGGATGCCCTCAGCCCTGGTGGGGCTGGGGCCCCTGTCCACATACTCCTAGCTTACATTGCACTTACTGGGGGGAGACACAAAGCTTTCCCCACAACGCCTGCTCTCACCACTTCTGTGCTGGAGGTGCCAGCCAGGGCGACCAGGCAAGAGACAGATACAAAATGCATCCAGATTGGACAAGAAAAAGTAAAAAAAATCTCTTTTGAAGATGAGACGCTCTTGCATATAGAAAATGCTAAGGAATACACTAAAAACGATCAGAACTAATAAATCCGTTCAGCCAGACTGCAGGGCACAAGATCAATACACAGAAACCCGCTAAGTTTCTAAGCGCTGGCCGGGAGCAATCTGAAAACGCAATGAAGAAAACAATTCCATTTGCGGTAGCATCAAAAACAATAAAATACTTCAGAAAGAATTTAACAAAAGGAATGCAAGACTGGTACACTAGAGATGACAAAGCATCCTTGGGAGAAGTTAGGGCCCTACGTAAATGGAAAGACATCTCACCATCGTGGATCGTGCAGACCCAAGCCCGGGACGACTGCTCCACGCTGGCTCACCAGGGGCAGTGTAAGCGTCCTGGCCACGTCTCCCTCGGCTGAGAGGGTTTCACGGACGTACAGAGGGACACAGGAGAGTCCACGCTGTCTGAGGTGAGCACTGGGTGCTGGGAGCAGAGTACAGACTGGGTGAGTGCATCTGATCAGGGCTGGCAGGAGGCGTGAATGGGTGGGGAGGGGAGAGACCAGCTCTGCAGTTCTGCGTTGGGGAGGTTCTATTTAGGCAACATGAGGTCACCACTGTCTGGCTCTTCCCTGTTTAAATGTCTTCCATTCCCAGGAAAGGGTACAACTGCTCCAATAGGGCAGTGTCTTCCCAAGTGAGCCACGGACACAGCAAAGCCCTCCTCCTGGGTCACTCCGCCTTATTCTCACATCTCAACATACCTCCACGGTTCTGGTGAGAACGACAGATGGGCCGCCTTCTGCGAGCGCCTGCCTGTGGCCGTGTGAGATACAGACACACGCTCCGGGATGTGCCTGCTCGGGGCTGGACACTGTACTAGGCTTTCCGCAGGCGTTGCTTCATTTAACCCTCACAACACCCCCGTGAAAGACTGATGCGGGTTCCTGGGATTTTCGGCTGGTTTCATCATTGGCTGAACACGATGGCAGATGCCACCGCTTCCCAGGTCTGGCCGTGCTTCCGTGGCCTGTCCTCAGCCCCAGCCAGCACTGCTAAGTCCTGCTCAGCCTGTGGACCTCATTTCCATCACCGCCTCCTCAGACATGGGCAACCCCTTGCTGTATCCTCTCATCACCTCCTTCAGAACAGCGGTAGATTTTGAAGCATTTCATCGACTCATGTGTTCATCTCCCCGTTAAGACAGTAGGCTCCATGAGGGCGGGGCTGGACCTACTTCTGCTCACCACTGTGGCCCCCCAGTCACCCGCCAGCCCAGGGACAGTGTGGCCTCAATCTGACCGAATGACAGTCTTCAACGGGAGAAGCAGCACTGGCTTAAGGGTCCTGGGTTCGAGGCCCCGCTCTGCCCAGGCTGGCAGGCGACTTGGGTAAGTCACTTCACCTCTTGTGGGATCAGTGTCTTTTGTAAACCACACGAAGATTCAACCGCTGGCCCAGGTTCTTTCTTATGCTGAGAAAGCATCATGGAGTGCTCTCAGCAGAATCCCTACTGTAAGATGTCTCAGGGAACACGGGGAGTTCGTGCCAGTGTAGTGACAGTGTCCACTCTGCACCACACGGAGACCTGGAAACCACCACGGACTGGTCGGCGAGACGAGACATTCTCCTGGTTCAATGCTGCTGTTGTTCGTTGCTGTTGAGTTGATTCTGGCT